AGCAGGCCAGATCGGCCACTCTGGAATCACGTCTTGCACCTGTATTGGTGGCACGAGTGTTGGCCATCGTCGGAGCTGGGGGGCCGGCAGGCCCATCGGCAAGAGAGTGGCCCACCAACGGAGTCTTGATGAGGCCCACTGGTCGGAGAGGTCAAGATCGATTTGGTGAAGCTGCAAGTCGGCATTCACGGCAAAAGCCCGGAGGCGGCACTGAAGCGGTTGGCCTTGGGCCAGGTCGGTGGGGCCTGCAAGGATCAGACCACTGGCCTGGGTGTGCCAGGCGAGCTGTAGCACCGCATCTAGAAGCCCCAACCGAAAGTCACCCGAACCAGGGCCTAAACCGAACTTAGGGGGGCCGCAGGCAGGGAGGCTGGCACAAAGGAGACAACGAATCTCCGGCGAGATTTGATGCAGCTGAAGGCGGACCGCACGGTCTGCGAGGCTTCCCTGAACCACAGTAGGAAAGTTCTCTTCAAGCACTGCACAAGCCAGAGGATTATGATCCGATACGACCAAGCTCCGGCAGCCGGCCTGCTGAAGGCCCAGTGTAATACCTCCAATGCCAGCATAGACCTCCTTTACTGAAGCATAAGAGGTCGCTGCAAGTAACGGCCGGGGAATCACCACGGTTGTGCCCTGAAGCTGCAAGTGGTATGTCTCTCCAAGCAGGCCCTGAAATAGGACCCCGTACAGAGTATAGACACGGTCGATCTCAAAGTGCCCGGTGCAATGGCAACATTCCCTGTTCCAAAGCGTAAGTACGCATGCTTCATGTAGGTCGGCCGACTGAACATGAACCACAAGATCAATGCAAGTTCCTGGCTCAAGCCCTGAAAGGACAGGGTCGCCCACCATCGCGAACAGCACTCTCGAGGTTTAGTCGTAATCAGCTCCACTACTGGAAAGCCTCGAGCCCAGAGCTATTAAGGCCCTGGTATAAGAAGCACGGCTCGTGACAGGGCCTAGCCCTGGCTTTTCAGTTGCAGTCGCCGCCCTTTAGACAGCTTCAGCGCTCCCTCGCTCAAGGTGAGCACTTCCTAATGGTCGTGTGGGGCGCTCGGTTTAGAGACGGCAGCCTTTTGGGCAGTTTGCTACAGAGTGCCTTTGGGGGATTGAATATCGGGTGGTTGTTAGCTGCGTGCTTTCAGTATGTGCGGCAGGGAAAGCCTGCTGCTAACTAAATAAAGCCTCTATTCTGCCTCTTCTGGCAACTTAATAGGTTCCTCAAAAGAACCTGGTTCTGGACGGAATTTGGGTTGCACTGGGCATGTTGAGATTGAGGGTTGCAACAGAAAATGTACCACCCAAGCTATCAGGAAGTCAGAGAACAGCAAAAACTGGTTTCAACGTTGGCTGGCGTCCTGTCTTGGAGTGCGACACACAATCCCATTGCAGTGCTTCGAACGAGGATTGTGCTGTTCTCTTCGTATGACTATACCTATATAATACCTATAAGGACCACTCAACTGACGTTTCGGAATTGGCTGGGTTTTTTTGGCTCAAGTGCCAATAAGGGCGGTAACGCGAAGACCCATGACTGACATTTTTGGGGTTTACGTCCCCCGGACCGAAGATCGCAAGCCCAAAAGCAGATTCTGGCCCCTAAGCCATGAAGCCCCAAACACCCACAAGCCCGACACCAGGAATCCGGATCAGCTGGTGCATGGCCTCAGCACCGCACTGAGACCCATCATCCGATCGGGGCGTTAAGTATATGATCATCTGCGCGTTCGGGGGTTTCAGCTCAGCGGCAGTGGCGAACAAGCTTTACTGTATGAAGCTACAATTCTTTACTACGGGTTAGTGGCTTCCATGGGCGATGCGGAGGAGGGGAAGCGCCTAGGGTCGTTGAAGCCGCATTAAAATTGAAGCATGTGTTGTCAGGTGTGCAGAATCCCCGGACGGTACTTTCGAGCTCAAGCAAAAGGTGACTCGGGGGTGTAGAATCATAGACTGGGGTCTAGGAGCACGGGCTTTCTTCGCCACTGGGGCTTGGGTGCTCTCGGCCGCCATGCGCAACTCGAAACGATAACAAACTCCACATCTCGAAACTCTTCGTTGCATCCTCAAGGGAGCTTGAGGCGCCTGGTAGTATCATGCCTGGGATTTGTTTCACCTCCCTCTTTCAGTCATCAGCAGAACACAATACCCAGCGCCTCGAAGCCCAACGCTTACACCCGGAACCCCTAACCAGCCCTGACCGAAAACCCTAAGCCCTAAGCCTTACACGCTGAAACCCTGAGGCGGGCACACGCGGGCACACGCGCACACACACGAATGGATCGGGGAGAAACAGCCAGCTCTCACCCTAATCCTACAGCCCTGCACGAACCCTACGACCGCAAGGACCCGACCCCCAAAATCTTAGAGAAGCTAAGGGCTTGAATCCCCAAAACTGGAAGACCTCAGACCCAAAGCGTCAAGCCTTCAACTTCTTACACTAAAGCCTCAAGAAAGCCGCGAATCGCCAGAGGCCCGAAGCACGCTGTGAGCTACGACCTGAAAGCCCTGCAGTACAAGGGCCTTCTGGGTCCGCTCCTCAGGGGTTGGTTTGAGGGCGCTTCCCCGGTGGGTGCGAGGATTTGTGTTTAAAGTTTGGAGTTTAGGGTTGGTTTGGGGGGTTCCAAGGTGGCCGTTCAACGTTTCTGCGCCTTCAAGGTCAGGCTAGGGGCTGCTTGGAGTTTCCTTTAGGGATCCAAGTTGCTGCTGTGTATACTCCCTGTAGACATGTACTTCTGTGCGCAGTCCCCTTACATTGAAGCTGTTCGGACTGCGGGGTTTGGGTTGGGGTTTAGGCCAACGGGGATAGAAGGGCTTTTGTATGTCTTACTGGGAAAGTAAAACACTGCAGCTTCTGATGTTAACGCAGGACAACAACAACTGCTCTGGCACTCAACATCACATATGCTTTCGATCACGATGGTTTCTGAAATCTGGGGCATAGGAACTTCGAGTCTTAAGTTCGGTGGGACGAAGGCTATCGCGGCTTGGACTTGAGCGCTGCTGGTTCGTGAGCTGTGAGCTGGCACTCGCGGTGCACACACTGGGGTTCAAGGCTTACGAGCTCAAAAGCGCTCGTCTTAAGCTATCGTTGCTGCGACCTTAAGCACAGCACGCCTGAAAGGACCGTGCATCATAAAGATATGGGTAGCTGTCAAAATTATCGTCCCGTTTTGGGTACCCTAAATTTTAGGTGCCGTATTGCAATAGGGTCCCAAAAAAGGGACCATAATGTTGACAACCCTCCATATGCCAAGCTCTGCAGAGGTTGCGGTGGTTTCGGAACCGTCACACTTCGGAAGCCAGGGCCTCGGAGAGACGGCCACAAAGGCCCAGGAAGAAAGCACGGCCTCCAGTTCGAGAGCTTGTGGTACGGTAAAAACAGGGGTACCTTATTTTGGGGTCCTTATAATCAGGATCCTACTATTTTCGGTCTTCTACATAAGGATCCACTCGGGTTTTTACGAGCGTTCTGCAGGGAATTAGCTTGAACGGCCACCACGAGAAGTTTGTAAGAGCTCTTCTTCGGAATTTCGGGAGTTGCGGTCCCCCATGCCGGAGGCCCTAGTTCGCGCTTTACAGGAAAATTCCGCGCCTGGCATCTCTGCTTTAGCAGTTGCTGCACAATAGTTTCCCTAGTTCAGAGAAACCCTGGAAAGACTATATCCGAAGGCTCACGGCCAGGAGCTCGGTATTGATAAGGCTCCGTCTCTCAGCACTCTTGACAGCCTTGCGAGCTTGAGTTTTCACAGGGTTCGGCGGTAGGCGTTCTTTCGATTCGGGCGTTCTTCAGGCAAGTTTGTATCGAGGCCTCGCCTCGTTTCGGATGCCAGAACACCCCAATCTACTGTTCGTGGTTTACTTGGTTTTCTTTTCTGGCGCCACACCCGGAAGGTGCACGCTCACTGGCAACCTTTTTGCCTTGAAGACGCTGTCCAAAGGCCAGGTTCGCCAGGTTGATACCACTCGTTCCCGAAATCCGTAACCCTTGTGATCTTTGGCGCCGTAGCAGTGCTAGGAAAACCTCCTAATCGCTGCGCAGGTCCAAACATGTTTGCTTTGCCTTGTGTAGGTGCTTCAGTTTCTTTGCTCTGCTTATCTTCCGTGATGCACCTGCAATGACCCTGAGCTTACAACATGCCACGCCAAGCGTGTCTGAGCTCGACCGCACCAAACGGCCCTCTCTGACGAACGTCACGATAATCATAGTCACTAGCACGAACTGAAAAATTTGAGCACTGGTCAGAGTCGCAGGAAAGATAGTCGTACGCTGGTGGTAATGGTGGTACTTTTGTCAGTATCGGTGTTGGCAGTGGCGGTGATGGTAGTCATGGTGCTGGTGGCGCTGGTGGCAGTGACCGTTGTAGTAGGCACAGCAGCAGCAGCAGTATTAGCAGTTTTATAACTACTGATTGGTGTTGTCGGGGCCGTAATAGCAAAAAGGCCATACACAAACGGTGCAGCAGCAAATGAACGGTGGCTTTCCAGTCCCTAGCGCCTGGTGATTGTTATCGCGATGGCCATTGCCATGGCCATGGCCACCCCCAACCATAAAATCATTCGAAGCTAAAACATGCCCTTTTGGTCCTGATCATCTTCACCCGTACAGGCTACATCGTCCAGCAGCGGCAGTGGGCCCAGTGCTTTCAACATGTGACTCACTCCTTGAGGTTTCAAGTTTGGGACGCCTGCGATGATCCGTAGTTTGATTCTAGATCTTGAAACCGGGCCTAAGTGTAGAGCCTATTCGAGCATAGCTTTGGCGGCTTATCGCAAAGCCTGCATGCCACGACCTGATGCCTTCCAGCCTTGAAGTTGATGCCTCGAGGAAGTGCTACGATGTTTAGTTTGTGGCGTTTGCGTTGACCGCACTAGTCGCTTGCTCAGCAGTTAAACCCGGAATCTGGAACCCCATGACCACTGGATTGAGAAGGGCATCTAGCGACTAGTACTAGGTAAACGCCAGACCATTATCCGGGAGCAGGCAAGAACTTGCCGTCATGAACGAGAAGCAGATTCTCCGCATGACCAACAGCCCCTTCATCGTCCGTTTGGCTGCAACCTTCAACGGTGCCGCTGGTGTGTCTTGAAAGTCAGAATTCCGGGATCTGGGCGAGCTTTCATGCTGTACGATCAAGTGTTTTCTGGGAGCGAGCGGTAGACATGAGCCCACACATCGGCTTAGTAAAGAACTGAACAGCTTGTAACAACCACCATAGGGACAGAGGGTACATTGCACCAAAATCCTGGCCGGCTGATTCTTTAAGTCAGGTTGGTTTCTGGCTTATACCCAACAGACACCAAGCCAAGCTTGGCGCCAGCATTACGATAGTCTTTACTCCGTGGCCGATGTGTTAGCCGAGGGAACGGCTCAGGGCTCACGGGAACTTTGGACTTTCTGGTTGCGCCCATTTGTCAGTTCTGGTACAGTTTGAAGCTCGTATTGCTAAGCACACAGCTGTCGGGGCAGCTGAAACGAGGTTGGTGGGAGCTTCCTAAGGCCGCGACTGAAATCCACAAAAGCCGTAGAAACCCTATCGGAGCAAGACCTGACCTCTTCATCAGCGCGGCTTCTATACTAAAACCCTCGGGCCTAACCCACTGAGCGCCTAGCCCAAAACTCTTCCCGACATTCTAGTCCTGCGTAGCTATACCAGAAAAAACTCCCGAAAACGCTCGTCTAGTCATCAAGGCCCTTAGTTCAGAATCCGTCGCCAGAAATGCAGTACTTGCACTTCTTGCTGGAGCCCGGAGCTCGGTCCAATCCGAATGGCACCATCTTGAATTTGTCACTATGTACAATATGGTCACTATTAGTATTATGATTATCAATATTTTTAATGATATCAGTCTTATTTACTTTATTTTTTGGAAAACTCTCCGGTCCCTTTACCGGAGACCGCCTGGGGCAGAGGGTGCAGGGCTGAGGGCTTGGCAGTTATAGCGGCGAGGAGAGGGGAAGAATCAGTCAAAACACTGGACTCTTGCTGAGGAACTCTATGTCATTGGGAGTTTCCGAAAATTAGGGGTACCTTATTTTGGGGTCCGTATAACAAAAAACCCAATAGTTACGGTACGATATTGGGGTCCCCTATTTTCGGAAACTCCCATGTTAGATACCGTTGCTTAGCATTCGCAGCAAGGCGAAGGCATTTACTATGTACTCCTCGCCTGGCAGATTACTCTACATAGCCCCAACATCCAACATCATCGAGAGTGGATCGGCCGTAGGTCCAGCTTTAAAGAGACCCCAAGCAGTAGGAGAGATTCGGTGTTTTTTTGCGTTTCGCGCTTGAGGTTTTAAAGTAGTACCCAGAACGGCCTTGAGCTCCCTTTCGGGTGACGATCTCCTTGTAGGGAGGTGTATTCACAAGAACCTTCAGCAGGAGCTTCAGAAGCCCAAAGTAGGCTACCAGGTTTTACGATTTTCTTTTGTATAAGAATTCAAGGGTTTTGGTGGCTGTGGGGTCGAGTTTGAGTACCCTAAACCAGAAACCCCCAATTTGGGGCTCCTTCCCTAAACCTTAAACCCACTTCCGCATGCAGTGCACACTCGCGGTGAAGCACTCACTTGCTGCTGACTAGTAGTGAGTCGTAATTCGTCGCCGACCCGAACTCAGAGACTTCGTCTGGCTTGTCCGAGTTGCGAGAGCGTAAACCCACTTCCGCCACGAGGCCAGCCATGGGTGGAGACCTTTTTACAGCGCCGGGCTTAGCTGTGAAAACCAGGGGCTGTAATGTTTAACATACCCCCAAAAACCCTAGCCTATTAAGGCCCCTACTTTACAGCGTTGCGGACTGCGAGTTTAGGCTCTCTTGCTGGAGGGGCTTGTTGCTACTACTTCTTGTTGAAACTATGGCGGGCTTCCTCGGGGAAATTTCTGAACTACAGAAGTTTGCAGGTCCTTAAGCTAAGGTTTGATCCAAGATGCCGAACATGCGCAACTCTATTGACAGAGCTGGCTGAAAAATGAACAGAAAGCTAGAACAACCGAACCATGCTCATGGCCCAACTTGTTCGTGTTGAGAGAATTGATCGAGATCGCTCTTCTTGCAAATGCTTTATTCCCTTCCACTCAAAGCCTGAAGGCCACTAGATAAACCTTGAACCCGCCTGTGTCGCTTCAATGCGGCTCAGTGTAGCCTTCGTCTCATCTTCCTGCAACTCCTGGGCCGGGAATACGACTTACGAGCCCACGCCTCAACCCTTTCGGTTGCAGGACGGAGCTTGAGCTGCCAAGCCTCAGATTTCCATCAATGCCACGAACTCCAAAACTGGCCTATCGGAGTTCTGTGCACCTAAACGGATGGGAGACTAAAGCAGAAACCACGGCGGATACAGCACCGGATTAGGGCAGCAGGGTGGCAAGCTTCCAAAATTGTCCTTTAACTTAGTATGGCCTTAGTTCCGCATACTGAATTGCTCATCGTTTCCCCTGATGAAAGTCGCATGTGGCCTCCTCTGCGGAAAACGGCTTCCGCCTCAATGGTTCCTGCATATTTTTCGCTGAATGTTGGTTCCCGAAGCCTTTTCAACCCTCAACCACAGGGGTCTGAGGACGTAGCGCTGCTTTTCCTTGGGGTTTCCCAACACTCTCACTATGCCCCGAACCATTCAGGTCTCTGTACTTTGATCGTCAAAGCCTCGAATCAGGTCTACTCCAGAAAACCCCTGCATGGGTCGGCGCCCCATGCGCGCTTCTATGCCTCGCCCCCGGCTGCGGCATGGCTCCTTTGTTGACAGCTCCAGATTTGGCATTCAATGTGGTTTAAAGCTGGGGGTGTCCACAAGATGTGAAATACCGGCATTGTGATTATTACAATTATCATCCTCATCGTTTCCAGCACCACCACCGCGGCACATCAGCAGCACCACCTCCAACGCAAGCTTCCAAATCCTCAGACTCAGGCTTGCGGCCATCATCATCAATGCTATCATCCTCATGCCCTTTCATCAGAATTTGTTTTCTTCCTCATCATCCCCACGGTTCGTACCACTCGTAGTCCTCTTGCTTGTCTTGATTGTAATAGGAACGCTGCGCTGGACGTGAAACAGCCGCATCACTCGCGTGAGAGGCGTCCTCGCCCAGTCATGCTCTGAAAGCCTACACGAGGAATCTGAGTTCTGTACAAGAGAACTTGACACAGAAAGCCATCCTGTCCATCTGAGTCCGCTTGTGTCGTCCGGGCGTTTCAGCACCTACATCAGCGGCACATCATTTACCGCGACATGCAGCTTGGCAGCAGTGCAGTTGACTTGTGGCTGGTGGGATTCGTATTCGGGTGGGAAAGGAACGGACAGGCTGTGCATGTTCGGGATACTGGCCCTTTGCAAGGAGGACTTGCAGCACGGAGTGTGTTGCACAAAGGGGCCCGACACCACGCACCAAAACTTGCAGACACCATTCCAAAGCTTCCTTCTACCCTGCGGCTGGAATGTTTGTCGTCAGCGAAGGAAGCCCGAGAACCTCCTCTTGGACTCGAACGGCTACTGCAAGGCCTGCACTCTGTGATGCCTAAGGCCTAAGGGTGTCAAGGATTTAAAAATCCCCCTTCATCTTCGTATCCATGGCACGCAAGCACGCTGTTGACGCCTTCGACCCAAATCCCAACCCTACGACACCCGAACCCGTTGTGGCATCAGTCTGATTGATGATATGTGCAATCTTCAGTATTCTTGGACATGTCCCGGGAAAGATGCAGGCAGTTCACAGCCTGTCCCGGGCGCTTTGGGTTCCACACGACTCGATCTGCAAGTTTGTTATGCCTTTCCTGTTTCTCGAAGTTCATAGCAGTACAGCTAAGGTGGTGCCACGCCCTAGAGCTGTTTGGAATTCCAGGTGACCGACTTCGGCTTAGCGAAGTTCGTCATCGGCGATGAGCTGAGGATGGAAAGACGACTTGAATTCAAAAACTGCAGGTTGGGTTGGGGATTTTTGGGTTTGGGCTGGGGCTTACGGGGCTTACGTTTTTTTTGGTTTAGGGCTTAAGGCTTGAGGTACCAATGACCTCCATCAGGAAATTGCGAGTAGCATCAACAAGAAGACTTATGTGGTGCCCACGATCTAGGTTGCTGCAGTGTTGCTGCCTCAGTGCACGTCAAAGCGAGGAAGGCCGAGAAACCGGAGCGTGAAAGCCCCGAAAGGATGGGATGGGCCAAACCATGAGTCACGGATCCCAAGCCGTTTACTTTCAGAGGTTTAGGGTCAGGACCCCAGACCCTGAAGCAGTTCGGTCTCATCATTGGGATTTATGTTTGCAGAAGGCTTGGGCGTTCAGGTCAGCTCTTACGTGCTGCGAATCAGGCAAACGCACACATCTCATAATGCTCAAATGCCCTGAACCCTGAAGCCCCCATAACCGAAATTGAAGAGCCTGAGCCCAAAGCCTCAAGCACGAGAAACGACAGAAGCTGAGCCTTGAACCTCATATTATGTTTAAAAACTCGGGGGATTCGGCGAGATGCCGTTCCCGTCCTCTGCAAGGCCACACCTACACGACCTGCGGCACCCCGGAGTACTTCGCACCCGAAATGGCCTGGATGCCCAGGGTGGAGAATTGCGCTGATTAGGTCTAGCTAAGTAGCAGGAAGAACATAATAAGTGCTTCTACCACGGCGGTAAGCAATGCCAAGAGCAACAACCGTGGCACGTTCACAGGAGTGACAACAGAGGCATGCACGCGTATACACCTAGCAGAGAAATCCAGACAATACGTGGGCGTGAATGTATGCATGCGGGGACAGACATGCACCTATGCATGTGCCCCTGACTCGATCTATGTGTATACATGCACTTATGTATGTGTATGTATATATATATATATATATGCTGATTGCTACCGTACTGTGTGACTGAAGGCGCAGCTGCACATTGACAGACACGAATGGCATACTTACATGTTGCGCATATGAACATGCAGATGTAAGCACAGGCATATATGTATATACGAGCATGACGTAGTTTGGTACAGACGAGCAAGAAATAAACCTCGCCTGAGTGACAAAAAAGTTACAAATCCACATGCACGGACATGTGCAGAGATACAGGTATGTAACATGTAGGCAGGTAGGCAGGCAGATAGATAGACAGACACGTAGACAGAGAGACGGCACAAGAATTACCGCGCAAGATGGAAGGCGCAAGCATACATGTACCTGAGGGTTCATCCGTGCATGCATTTACAATTACGGTTCGTGAATATCTGTTTCTCTGCTAGGTAACGTCTATACCGAAGGTATGCCCGACTTAGCACTTCTGGTCACTTGCTCATGTCCTTGTACCATCTGACTAGCCTGCTTATCCTCGCTTGGTTCTGCTTCTCCTCACGTACATGTGCACACCACCGAAGAAGCAGTCAAAAGAACAGACGTGCATGCATATGTAACCCTAAACCAAAAACCCTCACGCGCACCAGAGACCTCGTCAGGCATGTCCGAGTTGCGAGAGCGTAAACCTTAAACCGATAAAGATGTATACAATGAGTCGTACTTTGATGCATCATGCCGTGATGTGTGTGCGTGTACACACATGCACAAGCCGAGGTTTTGCACGTGGGCCACAACTCCGCGGCACAAGCCCAAGAGCTGTTGGCTGGTATGTGTGTTGGGTCGTTCGACTTTTTGGGTCAAGGTCTGAGTCTGAGGTTTCAGAGCTTTGCGGTGCGGTGGCCAGACTTGCTCCGATTGTTCAGAGGCCTGGATACAACAAGAGGTTTGGGATTGCAGTTGAGGGTGAGAAGCGTTGTGCACGAAGTTGGAATAATCGAAGAATCGCTAAACTTGTGGATCCTCCGAGTCCATTTCTCTCAGCATCCTTCAACCAGTTGCTCGCGGTTTATGCTCAGTCAGAAAGCAAGGTCGGTCTCCTTGGTTCAGGGTTTTTTGCCGGCGTCTTTATCCCTTAGGGACCTCGACAAAGCCAACATCAACATCTTGAATGCGGGTTGTGCTTGTGCAGAACTCAGAAGTACGTCACAAAACCTGCAGTCTCCAAAGATGACGCAATTCTCCGAAGGTGGACTGGTGGGCGCTGGGGGCATCTGCCTCAGCGACAAGAAATGAGTCCAGCGCATCCTTATTGCGTCCCCACCCCGTCGGAAGCCCAAGTTCGAATCGCGTAGGAGCAATCAACTACTGTAGAGTCCATCCGACCAACTGAGCCCATGCCTTAAGACTTAAGAAGCTAGATGCTCTAGAGCCCATGTCTCCCAGTGCTCCAGCATCACCCCTGCCCAACTCGTCCTGTTTTTGCTTCAGGTTCTGATCTACGAGTGTATGACTGGTGACACGCCGAGAACTTGGAAGGGTCAGTCTTGTTATTGTTCCCAGCACCACTATATTTGATGATCATGCAAATTCCTTCTATACTCCTACTGCCATGCCAACCTGTAACCCACACTTGCGGCAGGTCGATTTGCTGGCCGTGTGGGTGACAAACATACTACTTACTAGTCATCGGTCTCAGTCGGGCTTGTGGCTGTTATTGTTGCTATGGCTGTAGTTTGTATCGTTGTCACCCAACCTATCATTGTTGGCAGTCTGATGGCCGTCACCTGCTTTCCACTCAAGCTTCGGTGTTGCCTCACGAATCGACCCTAGCAATCTTCCAGGTATGGGTTTGGAAATTGCGCGGTGGGGATACCGGCCATGCGAGTTAGATTTCAGAGAGGCATGTAGCTTGCATGTTATAGAGACGTTTACGGAAGTGCTGAAGCACTAGAAGGCTGGAGACTTAAGAAGGGCGACGCAGCTGAATCTCAACATCCGAGCCTTGACCACTGCATATTTGTCGAGGCCTTTCGCGGCTTCGGAGCCGATTTACATCTTCCGACAAATTCAGGCTGGAATTCAGGCGGGCGGGCTCTCTTCCAGACCTTGAAACCTAGAGATTCCGTCGGTGTCGCTTACCAACTCCGATCTCCGAAACCGGATGAAGAGAGCTCCGGGCTAAAATCTTGTTGACAGGGTTTGTCACCCGCACCCTGAAAACCTGGGCCTCGAATCTGCAATCCATTGAGCATGGGACTTGCTCCGGACGTGTGTTTGACAGCACTGACCTGTAGCAGTCAGACACAGTCCTTTGCCATTCTATGGACGCAGTAAGTTATTCAGCCCGTGCCCTAAGCAACTAAGATTATGCCATTGTTGAAGAAGCCCTGTGTAGCTTGGTTTACAGAGCCCAGTCGGCCCGCATGAATCATTCAGGCAAGCCCAGGTCGCAGTGTCAAGATTCCCTAGATTTCACATTGATCTCACCATGGTGTGTGTTTCGAAAGAGTCCGTAAGGGCTGATCCATTCGTCGAAGAAGCCTCTGGGGCCGGGCGCAGTGCTTCCGCAACCCTCCACGTCCCGGGCGGCGGGCCACAAGTTTGCAGAAACGCCGAAGCCGAACTCGCGACGAACCGAAGTGTCTAATCCGCTTTTGTTGGCTGCCGGCAGGCCGCTTATTTTCCGAGACCGATCGGGCCGTGGGCCGACTTGGTCAAGCAACTCTGCCACGAGGCGAGTGGCGAGCTGTGAAGAGGGCTTCCAAAGTCTCGGGCAGAAGAGCCTATTTTACTTCTTTGGCTTATGTATCGGAGTTTTGAGAAACCAGAAAGTTTGTAAACCTATGGAAACGCGATAACTCACGCAGGAAGCGAGAGAGGGAGAGAGAGAGAGAGAGAGAGAGAGAGAGAGCGAGCGAGGGACAAAAGCGTCAGCCGGTTGAGTGAGAGGGTGGCATCAAAAGCACCACGCTGAACTTTTCCGACAGCCCAAAGAAGGTTATGCCCGAACGTCTTAACATCCTAAACTATCACTCCGCACCTGTGAACCTCGCCTGGCTTGTCCGAGTTGTGAGAGCGTAAACTATCACGACTGCAAGGCGGCAACCCAAAGAACACCCCAAAGAAATGATGACTCTAACACAAATGTCGCTGACAATCATCATCATCTTCAGGAAGGAGCAGCTGCGGCATCGTGATCATCCGCACAGATATGTAATGCAAACCTACAAGTACACATAGAGAGAGGAGCGCAGTCTTGCAAAATCTATTCTATGTCATACATAGAACCTAAGATCATGTTACGTGATGCTGGATCATATCAAGTTTGTGTGAGTCTGTATTTGATGTTGGGGTACGTGCGAGACGCTGTTGGGATATGCGGAGGCCGCCTCAGAGCGTCTACCCATGCGGCAGGGAGGGCTCGCCAACCTCGAGGCGAGTGCAGTGCTAAAGGGGGGCTTCTTCGGGTCCAGGGCTGTAAGAGTGCTGTAAGTGATGTTCAACTGGTTCTACATGGGCAAAGCCCGAAAGCATTTGCGGTTGGGTTGTGGTTCAAGTTGCTAGTGTTGCTCGGGGTTTGAGCGTGCTTAGGGTATGAGCTTCAGGGTCTTGACGGTTTGAGGGAGCTTCGAGTTTGGGACTTGTGGGCTTGGCCGGTTTAGCACTTGAGACCGTTCTAGAGGCTTGGTGGATCTTCCTAGTAGAGCTGGTTCGTCTGTTTCGTCCTGCAAACATCGGCGATGCTGCAGAACATGGAAGGGAATTGGAGGGCGAGGGCAGCCAGTGGGCTCCGTGGGTCACTGTTTTATCATCGTTGATTTTGTTATTCATTGAGTTCGGTGTCCGTTCGGAATCTGCCTACATCCCGCGAGGAGAGCATCTCGGTGCTCTGGGTCGCGTGGCGGTGGGTGCTTTTTCACCGTTTGGAGACCTACACTGGCATAATCAGTTGGAGGCTGTTGAGCGTTGGCTTCCGCGTTGCATCTATGTAATATGGTCTGAACTCTGTGTGATGCTAGTTTTTGAAAGTTCGCTGCTACCACGAGTTGCAATATAGCCGTCCGACAATTGAAGGCGCGACGAAGATGGCACGATGAATGTGACGAAGTTGATGTTGATGGTGGTCAAAGACGCACACATGTCGACTATATATATATATATATATATACATACATATATATGTGGATGCGGGCTAGCATCGGCTTTTAAGACCACGTGCAATTCCTTCGCATGTTCCGATCGCCAACAGCAGTACAAGTTTCACTGCCAGTATGAGCTCTGGCGATGTCAGCGATGCTTTTGGCACCAGTCTTGCTGCTGCAGACCAGGGTGGCTCTTTGCCTTCATGTTGGTACCTTACTCTTTCCTCTCTCACGTAAACCTGTGCTTCCCTGTGAACCTGATTCAATACTAATTCACTCAAGATCTGCACGATGACTGAGAATACGGTTCAACACCAGCAGGCCCATGAGTGGTACAGAGACTTCAAATGGGAGCAGCTCAGTGCACGCACCTTGAGCGCCCCGTGCTCCCGCGAGTTTTTGGTGCTCTTCGGATACACTTGATCTTCAAGAAGCCCTTACCCTTAACCCCAAGCTAACCCTGAAAATCACGGGTTGAGGAATTGAGAATCTAGGCCCTAAGCCCCTATCCTTCAATATGAGCCCCCCGTGCGTCCGGGCTAAGAGCTACGGGCGCCAATGCAAACATGACAGTGATGGACAGGTATCGATACGAAGGAATGGCCAATGAAACAAGACTATCATTCTGAGCAGAACAGCTCGGGAAATGCAAGCCACAAC